TAAACGCCTTCAGGAAACTGAACTGAATACATTGCTGATCAAACTCAAGCGACTAGTCCCTCAAGGTTGGCTTGACAGTTGTGAACCGTTACCACTGCCCTATTTTATCCGACACACAGAGCTCAGTATCGAGGGTGGGTGTTTGCTATGGGTACCTAGAGAGATCATGCCAACGCGGTGGCAACAGAATGTCTTACAAGAACTTCACGAAACGCACCTAGGGATCACGAGAATGAAGGCACTTGCGTGACCTTATGTGTGGTGGCCTAATGTTGACAGAGATATCGAAGAGTTGATCCGACACTGTGACGTGTGTCAAAGCATAAAGGCATGCCCCTCCTGTACTACTTAGACTTTGGAACTAGCCCAGTAAATCGTGGGAACGTATACACGCAAACTTCTTCAGTCAGTTGGATGGAAAAATGTTTTCCCTCTTGATTGGTGCTTGCTCGAAATAGACAAAAGTTTTTCCACTTGCACATGTCACGTCTGAGACGGCCGTTTCTTGCATGCGGACGTATTACAGTACCTTCGGTAACGCTGGTAAAAGACAACGGTTCCGTATTTACTACTCGAGAATTTCAAGAGTTCCTCAAAAGCAACGGTATATGTCATGTGGAATCAGCCCCCAACCACCCAGCTTCAAACGGTTTGGCTGAAAGAGCCGTCCCGATGATCAAGAACGGGATACGGAAACAAGCCTCTGCTCCACTGCGAACAAAGTTGGACAAATTTCTCTTTGGCTACCACGCCACGCCAAACGAAACGACTGGGAAGAGCCCAGGCGAGCCGATGTTCGGACGGAGCTTGAAGACACGACAGGATCTTCTGTTTCCTGACCAGAGGCTATGTGTCGAGGACAAGCAAGATAAATCTAAGGCAGAGTACGGCCACAAGGCTTCCGATCGAAGATTCTGCGAGAATGAACCGGTCTACGTTAAGTTACCCAATGAAACGACCTGGCAGCCTGGAGAGTTGCGCGATGCGGCGGGACAACATACGGAGGTGGCTTCACCTGATGGCAGAGTAGTAACTCGGCACAAATGTCACATCCGTCATCGTTCCGTTTCAACTCCGCCAGATGACGCCTCCTCAGACCAGCAAACTTAGTTGACAAACGCGCAGAACTTTTAGAACTCTGGCTAACTGAGGCTCAGTAATGTCGCCGTTCAACTCGGCCACGGCGACCCGCCGATCGATACCAAGCTACCTGGAGTGGTCCAAACTAAAAGGAGAAGGAATATGGTATCCTCAAGGCCAATGTACTGAGCCATTTCCATTCGTTTTCTGCATCCGCTGGCATAAGTAACCCGCTCACCCCTTTAGAGATTGGCCTAGTTTAGAATAGTGGATCAATGCGTACAACATGTTGGTTAGAATAGTTTTGCCTTCTATGTGCCTGACACGTTTTGCTTTGTGACACTTCGGCTAAATTGTGACAGGTGTGACCGAACTGGAGACTACGTCACCATTTGCTGTTCTGAACATTTTCAATTTGGTTGCTCCGTTTGTATAGCTTCCAAGCATGTGCACACCAAGTCTGACCAAAGTTGTTAAAGCGCGTACTGAATTCGTGTCGGAAATGGTGGGTGATATAGTCGACTAGCAGATTTCGAAGCTCGGATATCCGTACTTGGGTTAAATCCGCAAGTAGCGGGAGTAGGCGGCTAAGCTCTCGAAGCAGGTGCTGGAACCTTATTGATTGTCCAGATGCGAAGCTTTCTCTCATACATCGCAGGCGTGGTAGATTCTCCGTATGTGAGCGAAATTGGTACCATTCGAGTTGGCGTGGGGCGCGTGGCTCTCGTGCTAGAGTCGTAATCGAGTGAGGCTGTGTCGTATGCGTCCAAATAAACTTTGTTGCCCTGACGGAAATAGGTTGTTAGGTTCCTAGGAGATAATGATAACGATAATATTGGTGATGAGGTGACCCGTCTGGGTGTCTGCTGGTCATGGGATAGGGCGCCTTTTCACGCGGTTATGAAGACACGTGTATCAGGGCTTGGTATTGTCTACGTTGTAGAAGGAGCTCCGGTCTCCTTAAGTTTTCAGCGCAAAACTCTCAGGCGTTTTCTATTACTCTCCGTAGATCGGGGAGAGAAGTACTGTTGTAGGCGATCGGCTAAGTCGTAGAGAGAACTGACATTCAACCTGAGAACATCGGCGTTATTAACTAGGGTCGCGTCCTCTAGGACCGTCCGGTTAAACTGGTGAGCAGGCAAACGCCACATAAATTCTTCATTGTATTCCATGGGGTGGCGAATTCTATGGTGTTGTGCAAGGCCTCACTGTGCCCTAAAAGTTCTTCTACAGGCGCGACATTTATATGAGGGATCGTTACAATCTACCGTTTCCGCCATGAAGCCAGTCGGATTTCGCTGGTGTGCCCACATTTGTCGTGTGAGGCCTGGTCTAATAGAGAAAATTCGTGGACAAGGATCACATTGGTAGATATTGACTCGTTGTGAAGCAAGCGACACGGGTAGATGCTTCTGCGCCTTATCGGGTGATTCACAATTGGAGGACATTAAGTACGTCCCAGGGACGGATGTTGACGACGCAGAAAGTAGGTCTGTCGGTGGCAGTGAGTTTAGAGTCAATTGGATAGTAGGCGAATGCTGAAGCGAGGTGGATGATTCTGGAGATAATGCGGTGTCATCTGTAGGTTTGACGATTGTTGGTGGGTGCGGTTAGGCGGGAATTTACTGGACGTGCCGTCAAGAAGGCTGGAATTGAAACGGCAGAGGCCGATCCGTTCGTTTTCTGTGTGCCAGAACCAGCAAGTCCACTGTCTTGGCGATTCCGTACAGGAGAGGTAGGGAGACATGCCTAGACTTGCGCCGCTTGCTGTTCATAGGCCCCAATTCGCGGTCGGGGTGGGAGAGGTCAGGAAATGTGTGGTTTGTTACCAGAGTATGGAGGGAGCTACATTCTGGGAGCGGCTCCCCGGCATTCGTTGAATTCTGGGCAGGGTTAGCCAGTGTAATGGTGGTTGTAACGGGGGCGTTGCTATGTAAAAAGAGCAAACATAAAAATGTATATTCTCATTGTTACACGAGGCATAGCAAAGAAGGCATGTGGCCTGTCATCTATCGGTCTAGCCACCGTAAGTGTTTGGGGTGCGGGCGACTGGGCACACTGGGTAGGTTGGCTGTTCCGTTTGGCCGTTACTGCACTAGTCGGACAACCCTCTGCAAAATGTGTTGAATAGCAGTGATTCATATGGCGGTTTATTTACCATAGTGGATAATATTGGGATGGATGTCAGTAGTGGGCGAAATGGAGGGGAACAGCCGCCTTTTTGGCCCTCCCATTTCAGGTGTTGGAACCTGATGGCTGCGGCCGTACCAGTGGGCAAGTAAGTTTGTAGCTTTGGGTTAAATTGCTACGGAAATGCCGTGTAAGAGCTCAGATTGCTGGCTTGTCGTAAGCGTAGATGGCCTTCGTCGGCAGACCAGTAGCTTGACATGGGTGTTGTCTGTGAAGTCTACATAACTTTGTACTCCGAAGTATGTGTATGGCGGTAGTGATGTGTAAAAGCACGTGTCGACGAAAATCGACGATCACATGTTAGATATGTGGATGAGTGCTCATCTCAAGGACTTATATCGTGAAATCCACTATGCTGAGTAAGACTAGCAGCAGTAGAAAAGTGGGTGCTGCAAGTTTGATGTGTATAAGAATCCGGGTGGTTTGCGCCGTCCTCTTTTTTTAGTGACGAATATCCATTTTCAGGAATTCCGATTTTGGGACTTTTAACTACACTACTTTCTTCCAACAATTCTTAAAATCTTTTCAGCGCCCTTGATAGATCTCGTCCAGTACAGACAATCGGTGTTACTTAGTCCAGGAAATCATGGAGAAAACTCGAGAAAGTCCAGCGCGCGCAGCGACACGTCCGCTGGAGACAGGCTCTCAGACTCCTGATTGCGACCTTTTCATTGCGTGGGCACATGTTCCAAAATTAGGCTTGATGCGTGCTTGTGTGTGGGAAGATTTTACACAAAAACAGTCAAGGTTTATCAGTGGATGCGGACCCGTGTAGGGCACATTGTATGAGGTAAATATCGACGCATGTGAACGTTGTGGAGCGGTCAAAAGCACGGCACACATACACAGTCGTCGAACATGATGTTTCTTTCAACGTCTGCGAAGCGGTCAATCGTGGTGCTTGTGGATCAGAATTGCGCACATTGCAAAATCCCGCTACATACACTTTGTTGCACAGTAAACCTTCACATGGTCAACTTATAGAGGTTACATTAGTAGTGACTGCTGTGGCGCAAGTGGTCAACATACAACTTACTTACTGTGTTGGTCAACATACAGAGGTCTGGTTCCATTAGGTTTACATGGTAGACCTTCAACCCGTGAAAAAACCGTCAAGTTATAGAGCTGGTCAACTTAAGGCATTCTACTGTAGTTGGATCAGTGAAAAATTGTCTCGTTAGTAGTATCCTCGATGACACAATGTGCTGGCAAACCAGCTGTGTCTCGGTAGCCGAAGACCACCTTGTAGTGTCATCAGTACGTTTCTTCACACTTTATGAACCACACTTCAGTAACTGGAAACTTAATCGTATGTATGAGTACGAAATTCTGAAGCTGTCTCTACCATAGCCAGCATCTTTCATCATAATATTCAATCATAATTCCTTCATTCCTTATGTTGGGGTTCTAAGCCGTGGTACTTCGAAAAAGTACCTAACACTGTTTCGTAGACTAACCTGCACTAGAGAAATCGTTCGGAGATATCATTTGCGTTCATTTCCGGTCTTGGCCCACAAATCAGATGTAAGTCAAACAACTTCCATTATGATCAATCCAAAAATGAAGTGGGCTTACTTCATTGATCATAAATTGGTCTTCCGCGTTTGTATTCATTGTAAACAGGCAGATACCTTGGTTCTGATCGCATTTAAACAATAGAAGATGAATCATCACAATCAGAATACATAGAAGAAGATGACGTGACCACATAGGGAAATTCCTTTGGCATTTCATCTCAACTCACTGCTTATGATCACTCTTGCCTGCCGTTTGGATGAGAGAATCGCGCCCGTCGGGGATTTCAGATTGACGATAATTTCATGTGTTGTTCCGAGTGAATCGTTCCGCAAGTGCACTCGAATGAGAATCGCTTTTCTTGTCTCGCCTGTAGTGGATCAGTAGAAAGATTGAATGTGCAAATTAGCAACAGGTTCTTAACATTTGGACATGCAGTATCAAAACTTTGTGGTCCAGTCCGTTTACGAAAAAAGGCCAATTCACCACTATTTGGTGGGAAAATCATAGCAAAGTTAAAGTGCCGGGTTACTCATGCAGATCATACCTATCCCACCCAGTGCTGACGATGGGGTCTAGAATGTGGACACCCGGTAAGCCGTCTGACTTCAAGACTTACGGTATGAATTCAGTGCTACGGCATTGTTCCTAAATCCCTAAGGTTCCATTGCTTTGTGGCGTGGAAAATTATTCGCTTAGTCAGGATGAAAAGTGCAAAAGCAACGACTGTACTTGGGAAAAACCAAAACGGTGTGCAAGTTTCCTAATAGAAGCAGGATTGTTGAAGCGGGATAGTGCCATGCGAAACAGCGCAACAAGTTATTACGGTTAGCGCTTCAGGTAAATAGCAATCGAATTACTCACCTGCCTTCACAGATTTAAGTGCATAAAGTTGGATGACCGAGTGCATTCCAGCGGATCCACTTATCTGACAAAGTATAGTAATCTGAGTGTGATATCCAAGTGTTTTTTTTTTGAAAGTGGCTATAGAAGGGGCACAGGCAACTGCGTTTGGAAGAGCATTCCAAGGTTGGCAGATCCGGAGCGAGAAACGCGGTCGTCGACAATCTAGACGATTGTGTTGTTTATTCAATGTTAGGCTATTGCCTCCGAGGTTGATGTTCCTGCTGTTTTACTAGGTGACAGTAAGTGTGGCTGGGATCTTTCAGTGTTTGCTATACCATGACGAGTTCTTCACTTAGTCGCTGATAGCGTCCATTGGACACTCCGAATGACTTCGGTCGTCGCTGGTACGGAAGGAGCGCAATTGCTTGGCAAAGTTCGTTGCTCCAAGTTGTGGGTTCTCGAGAGCTGCGAAGTCACACTTCAGTCAGGGTCAGTAACCCTGAATGGTGCATTCAACTTGGGGACGTATGTAGACACGGGGCATTCGACAGATGATGAATGAATTCAAACAGAGTGTCCCCCGCAAGAGACCAACATGCTGGCTACCTTTATTTTAAAGCAGATTCAGACTGCCTGGAATAACGGAGGTTTTCCTGTACGAGCACGACGAGATCACCTTCCTGAGATAAGGTTTGGGGATCGTGCAACCCAAGCTTGTAGATGTAGAATTGTCGATGGCGAGTGTGAATGACTCGGTACTTGTCCACCTTGAATGGCAGTGCGTTCCTCACAGACCAATTTCAGGCCTCATCCTGGTCACATTGGAGAATCTCGTTGTCTGAATCACGGGGATACCGATCTTCAGCAATCCAAAGCAACAATCAACAACAGCAGTTCATCAGCGGTTTGAACGGATGTTTCGCTGCCATACAACCACGATGACCGATGAAGTAAAAAATAATATGAGGGACAGGAAAGGGACTGACCTGAAAACCTTAATGCCCTAAGCAAACATTCAGGGCCAAAGCGCCTACACCTTATGTTAACAACATACCGTAACAAACAGCTGGCTATCATGTCAAGATAAGGCGATATCGGCGAGACAGCTTTCTTGCGGCTTTCACTGCCACGGCACTGCAGTTCACTGCACCAAACATACTTTAAACGTGCAATCCGATTAGGAGACGGCAGCAGACGCGCCACTGGTGTCGGTTACGAGCCATGTTCTGTAAAGTCTCGAACAAAACACAAGGCAAGTCACGTAGACTCCAGCCCGGAAGGCGAGACGGACAAACGGCACCCAGTTTGGTAGTCAGTGACTTCATTTCCCGCTGCCAAGTCAACTTCTGTCCACCTCGAGTTTTGTGCCACCCTGCACCTGGCAGACAAAACAAGGCCCTCCTAAGTAAGCGGTGACCAGCCATCCGTAGCACGTGCCCGAGCCAACGCAACTTATTAAGTGCTATCTGTTGTTCTAGGGAGCTAGCATGATTATCACCACCTAGTACTCGCCTACGCCCATCGCAATGAGGCTGGACCTTACCGTGGTGCGATGGTTTGCGTGCCTCAGAGATTCATTGAGCTATGTTGAGTGGTGCTTTTTTTGCACCTTTAGAGCCACTCATACCAGATTGGTCGATGGTTAGAGGCCAGACAAACTCAGCCTCCTGGTCCTCCAGGTTGGGGGTTGGAATGGGGGTGGCTCCTCATTTCATAAAACGGGCTCTGTAGTCCAGTGCCAAAACCCGCTGCCTTGCGGTAAGGTTTTTGAACCAAAGGCTTTGGTTGAGAACCCTAATCGTTCTCCTGTCTAGGCCTGGGCAACCTGACAGTATTCTGCCCACGCAATACAATGAACCTTTCCTACAACAGTTTCTTGATGCTCTGGCCGTCGCAGAGGATAATAAACGGCGCCCTATCTGCTGCATCGAGCAGGGTGGATAGGGGTTTGGATGCTACTGCTCAGGCCTTCCCGTCTTCTTATACCCCTTCTTGCGCTTCTGCATCCTTATCGTCCCGCTCCAACTTTACTTATATCCCCCCCATTTTCAATCCCCCAATTCTCGGCCCTCCCCCAGCTTACTTCAATAGTCGCTTGTCTTCTAATTTCAAATCACACACAATCGCAGGGCCTCGCTCCAATCCAGTCGATAAGTCCATGTTCAACCAAGCGGACAATGTCAGTTCATCCGTTTCCCTTTGGAGTCCTCGTGTCTCGCTAAGATTGGCATGCCTCAACGTGCGCACTTTGCTGCAGATTGGCCAACAGGCAGCACTTGCCCGCACACTAGAGACCCTATCGATCGATATTTGCTGTTTATCAGAAACCCGCCTGCAAGATTCGAGCTCCGTGCTTACCCTGAGATCCCCCACATGCGACACTGGCGGCACATTCTCATTGCGCCTATCTGGCGATGATGCAGCTTCAAATGCCGGTCAAGCTGGCGTCGGCATTGTTTTGAGTCCCCGGGCTGAAGCTGCCCTGCTTGATTGGATCCCAGTAAACAGTAGGATGTGCGCCGTTAGATTAGCTGGTTCGTTCCGTGCTTCGAAGTCGCGCGGGGACAAACGGTGCCTGTTTGTCATTGCGGCCTACGCCCCTACAAACTGTAGCACTGATTCGGTAAAAGATGATTTCTATCAGCAACTTCACGAGCTCCTTCCTTACAGAAGAAGCACGGATACTGTGGTGTTGGCTGGCGATCTAAACGCCCAAGTCGGAAAATTGTCCTCTGATGAGCTTCATCTGGGCGGCCAACATGGTGTAGGCTCCCGTAATGATAATGGTGAGCGATTGCTCCAGCTGTGTGAAGATGCTCGCCTGTTTCTCGCGAGCACTAATTTTCGACACAGCACCCGCAGAAGTGTGACTTGGCGGCCACCAGCCTCGGGCCAGTCATGGACGCAAATCGATCATATCGCGATCAGTTACCGCTGGAGAGGCTGTGTCCAAAACTGTCGCTCGATTTGGAGCACGAGCGTGGACTCTGACCACGCACTTGTCTGTGCCGACATCCTGGTGCGTTTCGGTGGACGTCCGCGACGTCGATGTGAACGGATTGACACTAGCCAGCTGGCGAAGTCAGATGTTCTGAATGTGTACCAAGATGCGCTGACATCTGGGCTGAGTAAGCGCCCACTAAACACCGTTGAAGATCACTGGTCGCACACTCGTCAAGTGTTGCTATTAGCAGGCATGTCTTCATGTGGCAAAACAAATTGCAAAACCGGACATTGGGTCTCTACACAGTCTCTGGAACTTATGGATGCTCGCCGACGTATTCCGGCTGGAAGCGAATACACTGAATCTCGCAAAAATCTCAGGGCGAAACTACGTGCTAGCCTAAAGAAGGACCGCGAAACCTGGTGGTCTCATCGTGCCTCTGAGATGGAAACAGCCGCTGCCATTGGTAATCATCGTAAGTTATACCGTCTGATACGGGCAACAGGCAGCAGGAGACCTGGTGTTAGCGAGACTATACGCGACGAGAGTGGGCATCCGATCCACAGCTTGTCAAAGCGTTTGGAGCGTTGGGCTGAACACTTTGCTATGCAATTTAACCAACCTGAGTTATCACTTTCTTCGGGCATTGAGCGCCCTTCTCCTTGGGCCGTCTCCTTGGATCCGCCCTCACGCGCAGAAGTCGAACGTGAGATCAGGCTGTTGAAATTGCATAAGGCCGCAGGCGCAGATACTATTCCTCCAGCCCTCTTCAAGTTCGGTGGACCTGCTCTAATAGATGATCTACACGAGTTGCTAGTAAAACTTTGGGAGCAGGAGACAGTCCCGACAGACTGGAACCGCTCCGTCATTGTCCCAATTTTCAAGGGAGGCTCCCGTTTGGAATGTGGCAATCATAGAGGGATCAGTCTGATTTCGATTGCCTCTAAATTGCTTGCCTCTCTCATTCTCCACAGACTGACTGGCACTCGTGAAAGCCAAATTCGTGAAGAGCAAGCCGGATTTCGTCGAGGTCGGGGCTGCATTGACCACATCTTCACATTGCGTCAAGTGTTGGAGCACCGCCATGTTTATTGGCGACCCACCGTTGTCGTGTTTCTTGACATAAAAGGTGCCTTCGACTCAGTCGATCGATGTGCCCTTTGGGACTGTCTGCTGAGGAAAGGTGTGCCTGATAAATATGTAAACATTATCAAAGCGCTGTACGCACATAGTTCGGGCAGGGTGAGGGTTTATGGCAAACTCTCGCCACCCTTCAGTATCATCAGCGGTGTGAGACAAGGATGCCCGCTGTCACCTTTCCTCTTCAACTTCGCTATTGATGAAGTCATGGAAACAGCGTTCGCTGGACACGACCTAGAAGGTGTGGAGCTACTCCCTGGTGAGCGACTTCTTGACTTGGAGTATGCAGACGATATTGCCCTAATCTGTGACAGCTCCCAAACATGCCAAACAGCACTGAACCGATTAGCACTGGCTGTCAGTCGTTTTGGGCTATGCTTTGCTCCATCAAAATGCAAAGTACTTCTCCAAGATTGGCAGGGACCCAACCCTGCGCTAAC